TTTAAATAATATTTTGCAATATTTTCAAAATAACATGAGATAAATGAACGCAGAGACACAGGATTAAAACTGCATCTTTCATGTGATACTGAAGGTATTTCAGTTGGACCCGCAGGGAAGAAATATATTAATGAATATTCATACACAGTGTATAAGCATCTCATACTTACTACACACATCAAAGCCACATACTGTATCACGTGTGTGCCATATATTCAAAGATTTTGTCATCTTCCTCCTCTCCCTCTTCGTCTTCTTTATTTTGCGTTTGAATGTAGCCAGAAGTGTTTGCACGCATGCCTTCATAGCCAGTCTCAGTAAAGTCTTCATGCGTGTCTTTCATTAACCCCACAGTTGTCTCATCGTCTGATTGAGTTTGTGAGTCTGTGTTGCTTAAACTCCATTTTTGGACTGTTTGTAGAGGCTCCGGATCAGATAGTCTCAAAAAGTTTGAGAGAGGCTCTTCTACATTTTGTTCGTCTTCCTCCTCCTCTTCTACAGTCAGTGCAGCAAGGGTGACTGAAAACAAATTGACATTGCCAGAGCTTTCAAACACCTTCTCTTGCTTCATCTCATCTTTCTTCTCCTTTGTTCCTTCAGCTTTGACCAAATCTTCATCTAGACCCCCAAGTGTGACCCCATCATCAGTCTCTGCATCTGAAAGCTCCACCTCAGCTGACAACCTCTCTGTCAAACTTCCACAGTCCGCTGCTGCAGCTGGCTCGCTGTGCATCGACATGTTGCCAGAACCCAAGCACAAACTTTCACCTGTGAAACACTGTGCAGCTCTGTCCATGTAGACATTTGTCTGTTCCTCTTCCTCCTCATCTTCATCCTCATTTTCCACGGCATGAAGTTGCATTGTGGGCTTGTTGTGCTGCCTCTGTTTCTCTATCTGTGAGTCAATGCAGACTGGGTCGGGGATTGTTCCCTCTGGTGTCAGGTTGTAGCCTTGGCCCAGAGCCTTCTGGAGTGATGGAACAAGGAGGAAGTTTAACACTCAGGATGAGGATGGCAGTGAGACAGGTAAAAGTTGTAATAAATGCAGTGCCATATTATCTATTTAATCAATATAGATTCGATGCTAGAGAGCTAAATTAAAGCCTGACTAAAAGCTTGATTTCCTGGAATTGAACAATTTCATTGTTTCATCCTTTTGTTTGCCACAGGCTGAGCAGCATGGTATGCTTAGGTATGCAGTTCACTGACATCATTGGGATTTTGGGTTCCTAACGAAATATTTCCTTAGCAATACTTGTCCAAGGAATATCAGAAGCAGCTGAGAGAAGAAAGACAAATATTGTCACCTCATGTCACATCTGGTCAATCACCACATGAAATGGCTGAGACGGCTGATTTCTATTTTTTACAGAAACCCTCAGACACATTATGAATGTAATCATACCCACCCTTTCTTATTAACAGATCATGAACCACTAAATATTACATTTAAGACCTCCATTTTATTGGGGCAGTGGGAAAACAACAAGCCGAGCTATCTACATGGCTAGATACCACGACAGACAGACAGACAGACAGACTTACTAGTGCTGTAGGCAGAGCCTTCAGTTTACAAAGGAATCCAGTGTAGTGGAGGCAGAACATGACGGTTAAGAGGACACTCGCAAAAAAAATCAGAAGAGCAGCAACTACTCCTATAACAACAATGTCTGGGGATAGAGAGAGAGACAGACAGAGCAAGAGAGGGGGAGAATAACCAAGAGTAATAAATCCTTCAGTATCAAACTATTAGTACCTTGCACTGGCTATTTACTTCTCTTAAACGTAAAAGTGTGGTCAACATACAGAGCCAACAAATAAAACTAGAATGGCATGCACTTGACACATTGAACTTAGGGCATTTTACTGTGCTTTAATGACAACAATAGAGCTCCAAATCTCAAGTTTTAGCTCAACATTCAGTGTTTCCAACTTTACTTAGACTTTTATTCCAGTCGTAACTGACTGGGTTGTGGTATAGGGAGGTTGCTCAGCTCTGATGTATTAAGTAAGAAATTGTGTTTCCCTGCAGAATATGAGCAACTGTCAGCAGAACCTTCATGCAATAGGAAGAACTGGACATTGTCCACTAGTTAAATTATAGTAGATTAAAACATTCTCTCATATGGATAAAAAAATACTGTTTAGAAAATGCTAAAATGGCAGATAAAATATACTGTGTCACCTATTTCAGCTTTCCCAAGTAATCTCAATGTAAGAGAAACACTGACATCTTTATATTAATACCATAACACTGTCACAACAGCATAACATTCAGGTTTCAATGTTCAGCTCACCTTTTTCCGGTTCCACGATGCTGGTGAAGATGCATTTCAAAGAGGATGGCTCAGTGTTTTTGTTCAAATTAGTCTCTGTGTGCACTTGTACACAGTACTCCTTACCTCTGTTAAGGTTACGAAGAGTTAAACTCTTGTTTCCTGTCACAAGAGACTCCTGCAGTTTAAATAAAGAGAAAAATATGATTAAAATGACTTCTTAGCACTCAATACATCACTCAAAGTTTCAGTCACAATATTGGATTTAACGCTTGGTTTCACATCAGACCATTGTTTCATCTTTCCTAGCTGTCAAAACTCCAAGAAGGAAATTGGAGTTTTAAGTTCTACTAATTTCTTACAGAGCCAAAGCTGCTGTCATAGTAGAAATAATCATATATTATATTTAGTAAAACCACAAAGGTAGATATATTAGTGAATGGGTAGTCTATCAATTTTGTCATTACGATCTCTGATCAGAGAGAGTCTCATCCCATAATCTACATAAAAGACAAATATATACATATATGTGCACAGCTACTTTAAGGAACATTACCTTTAGTCCTAGTCATGGAGGTTTAAATCCACTGCAGAGGAGGCTTGATGTGTAAACAAGGTTAACATGAGAATGAGATACTTTTTTTGTTGTATTGGTCTGTCTGTGAGGATTTAGCAGAAGGATTTGGGCAGGGAAAGAATATTGGGTAGAATGCCCCCCCCACACTTCTCTCCCCTCTTTGCCACCTACATTGAGTCTGGTTTTAGAGGTTTCTTCCAGTTAATGACAGAGTTTTTTTCCCAACAGTAGCTAAAGTCTTTGCTCATTTTGGGAACTGTTGGGTTTCTGTATCATTTTTAAGGTCTGGATCTTACTATGTAAAATGCCTTGAGATCATGTATATTATGATTTGGCATGATACAAATGAAATTGAATTGAATTGAATGTTAAGTTAAAGGCTGAGTTGTAAAATGATCTGTCATTTTGTATGATGTATATTACAAATGAAAGATAGCCTTGAAATGCCATGATGGTTGGGCACTCTGTGTGCAGGTCATAAAAATGTAAAAAACTAATTAGCAAGTTGACATCACCTCAGATAATATGTGCAGTATTTAATAAAGCAAGTACAAGGAGAAGCAAAGGTGTAATTTTAAATATTAATATAAATAGTCCACTAAGATTTAGCTGAACCATTGCCAGGATCTCTCCCACTCCCAAATGGCATTGATAACATAAACGTCTGGGGTGGGGTTAACAACCAGCACAATATCGGGGTGGATAGCCCACAACAGGAAAAGACCACATCCACAGTTTCACTCCTGTTAAACACATCAGGGATGTGGCAGAACAGGAGGTTGGCAGCATGATACTAATAAAGTGCTGGCTAAGTGTACTTCATAAACAGTTGAGAACCAGTAGAAGAAATTAGTGGTGTGAAATAGGAGCAAAATAGATTTCTTACGATTTTGTTATTTTCACTCTTCCAAACGACTCTGAATTGGGAAGCGTACAATTTCTGGATATCATCAATTCCTGAGCTCCTGTCGGCCTCCGGCAACGAAATGTTGACTTGTATGCAGTTGCCACATCCAGCGAGTGAGACTTCTGGAGGACCTATTGTGGCTTATCACAAGAAAAAACACACAAAAACTAAATAAACATATTTACCAAGGGAAATTTGCTCCATCCACAAGTAGATCTATATGTAATTAGCTACTTTAGCTACTTTAGTTTTGGTCAGACTCAAAGGAAAGGAACTGAAATAATCAATATACAATTTACTTATAGGCTCTTATAGGCAGATTTAATTAGTCTGAGAAATTTATAGGAGACACAGGGATAAAAAGGATATTGAACACAAAGGTTTCTGAGTGAAGTCTGTCCAGCCATGTTGGCAACTGTGCTTTAAGATGATGTGATGTTTATTTCATCTAAGACAGCATGATAATATCAGATAATTAGCACTAAACAGAAACAATTGATGCTAACAGGTCATTTATTATCAATGTAATCCATAAAATGTATGAAAATAAAGAAGACAATTGCTTGTTTTTTATATGACCAATAATCTATAAACAGATTATAAAAAATGTTTTAGATTTATTTTTCCTCTACTGACTTTTTTTCCTCAATTGATCATTTCATTATGGTTAACAGTTAACTTACTTACTTGACCGAACAGACTTACAACTGACAAATACAGGCAGGGAAAAATGACAATAATTTGCATGCAACTCAGATAATGTTGACATACTATCTGTGTATGGGGTGAACACGCATTTGTTGGACTCAGGAGAGAGGGTATGGTTGTAGGATGCCTGGACAGTCAGGATATATATGTGATTGTAGACTAGGTGCAGCTTTAATGATGTCGTCTTTGAGTTCAGTTGCTTTATTTTCCCCCCGTACAACCTGCACAACAAGAAACACATTTCAAACATATTATTTCATGCTTGCCCCTTACTCTTAGTTTAATCTCTGTTATCTCTCTCACCAAATACATACTATTTACTATGAGTGAAAATGGAATGGTAGAGCCTACTACCCTAAGGTAAGGTTAAGTTATATCTTACAACACACATACTCAGAGGGGGTCAGAGTTCAGAGCTCAATCTCAAAAAGGAGTACTTTTAAAACTGGTCAGGCAAAGAAACAAGATGTTAGTGAATATTAGCACCAGAGGGTGAGTAGACTGAGGAATACTTATTCATTCTGTCTGAGAGAAGCACAAGGCCAATGTGCATACTTTTCAATGAAAACATTTTTAATCTAAGTATCCTCAAGGGGAGGGATGAACACCACATATCAGAACCACCTGAAATCATTGAAACTGTAAAACTGTCTAGATAACGAGACTGTGAAGTGAATGAGCATTTACAACAATTAATATAGTGAAGAAAAATGTAAATAAAAATAAATTCATGAATGCAAACATAACTAAAGAACTCTAATGCGAAGCAAGAAGGTATATTTTCACACCTTGTGTGCTAGGACACCGCTTTTACGGCGTTTTTTCTACATAACATGAGTGACGAGTGACATATTTTGTCCAGGTTGACTTGCGATAGTAACGTTGGCGGGATCGTACCCTCATGGGGCTGCGCTCATGTGATTGGCTGAAAATGAGGGCGACATTAGGCTACAGTATCCAAAAAATGCATTTGTGAATCCAGCAATGTCAGGGGAGTCCCAAAAAACCCACACACAAATGTAGAAGTATATTTGTGAAACTTTTTTTTTATTTGTGATTTTTTTTTTAAACATTTATATACATTGATAACTATTTGTGTGTGAATTAAAATGTATTTGTGAATATTGAGACTGATATGACCCCATAGACGTGGCGGGACGTGATCCAACACTGGTCACTATACACAGCACTTTGCACTTGGTACAATGTCTTGCCCTTGGCACCACACGCATGTGGACTACTAGAGATGGGGATCAAACACCCAGCATTCTAACTGTGGATGACCTGCTTTACCTCCATGCCACAGTGGACCTCTACAACTTGTATCTCAGTACCCCTTTCTTATAACGTATACCAACGTATTTACATAAAAATACTACACTTTTTTTAGAAACACACAGAAAGGTAGAGTGAGTCATCCTCTAATTGGAAATTCTGTGTCCATAGGCAAGAAACTGAACCACAAATTGCCACTGACGTCTATATAAAAGCACCGTAAGAATGTATGTATGAATGGGTGCTATATAAATGCAGTACATTTAGCATTTACATGCTGATACTCTATAGTTCCTCCATATGCTCTCAAACTCTCAGCTCTTCCATGTTTAGGTGACTGAATCACATCAAATTTGCAGATTTGTCATTCATGCTGCCAATTTCCTATTCAACCCCATCCTAAAGTAGTTCTACTGTATTCACATCTGGTGACTGTGGAGGCCACTGAAGTTCACTGAACTCACTGTTGATTCTTGTGATTGCACAGTGACACAGCACATTCAGACACACCTGAGTCACAAAGGTTATGTTATGTTTTAATATTATATTATTAACAGCATGCTCACTGAGCTGACATACCTGTGTCAAAAAGAACAGAAAATAAATACTGGAGATTTAGGTCAGTATAACTGTAATCTAGTGGTAAAGTGGGCCAGCTGGAAATAGTACAAATATTTTTTTAAACATAACCTTCTTTCTTGTTTCAAGTCAAATCCACCCATGAAATTGACCATCGTATTTATTTCTGTCATGCAGGCAAGTACAATTGAATGTAATGTGAACCTCAATGACAGTTAAAAGAAGATCAGAATATCCTGAACTGAAAAACAAATAAAAGCACTTGAATCATTGGTTCCATCAAAGTCTGAGCTGGCCTCTCTGTGCTCACGGCTGGACCACACGGTGAGGTGCTACAGACCATGTGCTCAATCAATGGAAACAAACACTGGTTGGAAACTGTGAAACAGCACAAGCAGAGCTTCAAGAGGTAAAAAAAAAACCTTGCGGATATTCCATCAAAGAAAATGCAAAAAGAAACCACCGATTATCAGAGAGACCATGTTCTGACTGAAAATGTGACCAAATTAAAGGTCACAAAAGATCCTCAGAGAGGCTGATACAAAGGGTTCCAACACCTTCTTAAACAAACAACTACTTTCCAGGCTCAATTCCCGACAACGATGTATTTCTATTTTTGCACAAAATATATAAATCCCAGCCATTTCAATGACCCATGTCTATTTTAACATTTTTTTCTTTTTATAACCAGAATTTCAAGAATTTTAAAGCACAGTGGGGACCCTGAATCTGTCATTGTACAGGAAAACTTTGCATGCAACTGGGGCAAGTTGACTGTAACAGTTTGATAATCTTTGTACTTGGACTGGACTCATGTATTGTGATATTAAATAACACCTCATGATCCAGGATGTCATGGTGCACATATGTTGTGAAGTATTCATCTAACAAAAAGAACAAGCAAATAGACTATATATTTTTTGTAGATCATGAAAAATAGAAAAATCTGAAATTTAAGGGAACAACAATAGGGCTGTTTTTGTTTATACTTTTTCTATAGTAGTGTGAAAACTTGATAATCCTAACCATTATCACAATTTAGATTGTGATATTGCTTTGTTCTTTCAATACAAGAGTTTGGAGTTTTGTGAATCGCAAAGGGAAGTTGAATTTACCCTTTGTCACTTACAAGAAAGACAATGTATATTCACTTGATGGAAAAAAGTAAACTGCTGTGGAATTCCCCAAGAGCTAAAAGGCAGAACGTCCAAGCTACTTCACAAAAAATAAGTTTTGGAACTTTTTAGATTTGTTCTGGTGTAAAGTGGTGTTCTTAAGTTATTCAGGATATCATTATTGAAGTATTAAATGATAGATTGATGTCATTTAGACAATGTGTCACACTCCTTCCCCTAGTTTTCTTTATGTTCTTATGTTATTGTGATTTCTTTAATAAACTTATTTACCTCACCTCACCACAAGGACTGAGAAATATGGTCATGGCATATTGTGATATTCATTGTTATCCGTGTTTGTTGTAATAAACAAAAAATATATATTTTCAATAAAAAAACAAACCCAAGTTTTTCACTGTAAATGCTGGTCTAAAATTCCAAACCAAAGTCTAAAATTGGCTAAATGTCTAGTGAGTAAGATCTAAATGTAAAAAATCAAAAGTACTTGACAGTTTGTATGCTTGTTGCTACAGACATATGTGCAGAATCAACAGAACAGTCAGATGAGACAGTGTCTCTAACCAAAAGAGGAAATGGCATCATGCACTTCATGGTAGGAAATGAGAGCAGTGATGGCCAGCAAGATGGCTCCCCCTGTTTTTTTTTTCCCCCGAGAGACGAGAGAAGGAAACATAGACAGTGAGAGGTAGGTAAGAGAAAATTAAGAAAAGTAACTTCACATGGTGTGAAAAGCACATAGCAAAACCATTGTTTTCAAACAAGACTGTACTGACATTTCATACATTTTTCTCATGCGCAGTTCTAAAAATATTTCTAAAAACTGTATGTCTCATATGTTATTGGACTGTAGCAATTGATAAAAGCATCAAAGTGAAACAACCATTCCACAGATTTAAATTCCTGACAGCACAAGCTAGAGCCCACTTCTCTCACTGAACATGAAAAGTGGGATTTTATAGCTGTTCAGTTGTTAAAATGAGTAATGATTGTTAAACTTAGTTGAGACTGTTAGAAAATAGAAAAGGAAAACTTAATTTACACATTTTGTGTATGTTTTCTAAAATCAAGCACTAATGTACATTAAAAAAAGAGCATTTGTAGTAGAGCTCTTATTTATAATCCTTCCAATTCAATGTATAACTGACAATCAGTATTGTTAAAATATTATTTCACCTCCTTACATGCTTTCTTTGTTTGACAGTCTACATATTGCCGGAATCCTAACGCTAGACATTATGATAGTCCAGACCTTTTCATGAGGAAATTTTCTTTATCTCGACCTATAAATTTTAATTGCATATTAAATTTGCATGTGCTTGTGCTGTCTCCACCTTGAAAATGTTTTTCTCACCACAGTTAGCTAGAGTTTGCTTATTGTGGGAAATGCTGAGAATTGTATGGTTTGGACTTTACTATGTAAAATGCCTTGAGATAATGTAAGTTGGTATTAAGCGCTACACAAATAAAGTCGAATTGAACTGAAGATGGTGGACAGGGAAATTACCTCTTGTTAATCCTGTACTGTGCATGTGGTGGGGTGCCAGGTCCAGGATCCCATCGCATGACATGGTGGAAGTTAAGAGAGATGATGGAAACATTGAGTGGAGCAGGAAGGTAAGTGAAAGCTGTGGGAGCAACAAGTTCACATGGGAGGCAGTGTGACTCAGAGGTGCAATTAAAACACAAAGTGCAAAACACACATGATGATATCATGAGTTACTAACTCTGATTAAGAGGCTGTGTTGAGGAGAATGGTGTCTGAGCTATTCTGAAGTACATTTAACTCTGAGTAACTCACCAGAATCAGGCAGTAGCATGAGATAGAGAATGAGAGCCAAACACTGCATCCTTGCATACTCAGTAAGCACCAGCTGAACATTCTGGTCACTGCACTGGTTCTCTCTGCAACAACACAATATATTCCGTCGGTTCAGTGTAAACACATAAGGCTTCTGTAAGTCCTTATTCTTTAGNCTCACCCTTGAATGTTCCTTTAATAGACGTCACACACTTTGAGATTCACTGATGTTTGGGCTTATTCAATAACAGGCTTATATGTAAAAGTTTCCGATTGATAAAATAAAACTAAGTGGGATTGTCTGTGTTGACACGTGTGTAAGTGAGCCATGAACAGTTTCTCCTGACATGAGTCCAGAGATTAGAAATCTGAAGATCTTAAAACTTTGAATACGTAACCAGAGCCTACGTATGATCAGTCACGTATTAACATGGACATTCAGACTTTTTAACTTTATTAACGTGGACATTCAGACGTTTAAACGTTATTAACGTGGACATTCAGACTTTTTAACTTTATTAACGTGGACATTCAGACTTTTAACCGTATTAACATGGACATTCAGACGTTTTAACGTTATTAACGTGGACATTCAGACTTTTTAACCGTATTATCATGGTTGTAGCTGACAACTAAACGCGTTCAAACATCACTTGTCTTGGTGTAAATGTTCAGGGACTTACCCAGACGCCCCTTCCCATTCTGTGGTCGTCTTTGCTCTGATCGAAAAGCAAAAGCAACATGAATTTCCTGAAGTGTAGCTGAGTCCAATCTGTCATGTACACCTCCTTTACTTCCTGTGTCATCTTCAGAGTAAAGGTCTGGGTAAATTCCAGCCACACACACGCCTGCATTAACCAGTTAGGCTGAAAGAGAGCTGAGGGTGAAACTGTTTAGTCTGTGCTTGTTGCATCGAGGCAGACTTCAAAAACACATGTATCCATAGACTGTATGGTTGTACCATATCTATGCATGATGTAATATATTTCTCTGTCCTCCAATGGTCTCAGCCCTATTAATAAACTCCAGAACACTTGGCCTAAAATGTTGACTTTATGTATTTCAAATTTCAAATAACTTGACAGTGATTTGATGAAATAAAGTTAAACTTATACATAAATAGTCATGGTTATTGGTGCAAAAACAAACAGAAAGGAAATCTCTTAAATTGTCACTACAATCTGTGGAAGCAGGTTACAGTGATCCTGGTTGCTACCCTTTCTCTCCGGAGTCATATTATTGGCGTTATTAAAACTTTAAAAAATATAATTTATGAAATATTGCTAGATTGCTATATTGAAAGATAAGGGGATTTTTTCATGGATTTTTGTTTCATGAATGCACTATACTCTCACTCACTCACTGCAACAACACAGTATATTCCTTCAGTTCAGTGTAAACACATAGGCCTTCTGTAAGTCCTTATTCTTTAGAGAATAAAAATATATTTGATTAATTTATGTATAAACGCAAATATGTTTACCATTATTCTAATATTATATGATTATAGCAACATTTTAATTTGATTTAAAAAGTTTCCTCACCCTTGAATGTTCCTTTAATATAATTTATGTCACACACTTTGAGATTCACTGATGTTTGGGCTTATTCAATAACAGGCTTATATGTAAAAGTTTCCAATTGATAAAATAAAACTAAGTCGGATTGTCTGTGTTGACACATGTGTGCAAGTGAGCCATGAACAGTTTCTCCTGACATGAGTCCGGAGATTCGAGATCTGAAGATCTTAAGAAGTTGAATATGTAACCAGAACCACTACGTATAATCAGTCACTTGATGAATGTATTAACATGAAAATTCAGACTTTTCAACTTTATTAACGTGGTTGCAGCTGACAACCAAAACGTGATCCAACATCACTTAACCATTCTGTAGTCGTCTTTGCTCTATTCGAAAAGCAAAAGCGACAAGAACTTCCTGTGGTCTAATCTTTGAGTCCAACCTGTGATATACACCTCCCTTGCATCCTGTGTCACCTTCAGAGAACCCACCTACCTACCTACTTTACCCACATACCTATCTACCTACCTACCCACCTACCTACCTACCTACCTACCAACACCACCTACCCTACCCACATTTAATCACTGAGTGTCATGTGTTCATGAATGCAAGGGAGGTTTTGGTGGCAGGTGTACAAAAAACAGCTTAGGCAATGGAAATCTATTTCTCAGATGAAAGTCACTGGAGAAAAGTAACATTTTCAGGCAAGATTTGTTCACACAGTGAAAAATGACTAATCATTTCAGATTTACCCACTTACATTTAGTGTATATGAATAAGGAGAAGGTAGAGACCACTAACCAGAAGATTGGTCCATTTTCTGTGTGCGGAAGTGTCCTTGGACAAGATATTGAACCCAGAGTTACCCCTGATGGCTGTGCCAGCTGTGTGTGATTGGTGTGTAGTAGAGTGCAACATATAGATGCAGTGTATGAATGTGCTCTATCTATCTATCTGTCTGTCTGTCTATGAACACCTATAAAGGATAAAAAAAAACAGCCAAATGGTTTTACCTAATTAATTTTGTATTCATAACCTTTTTTTTTTTTACCCATATCTGACATTGAAAAACATCAATATTCAACGTATGAAAACCTGTTAAAATTCAAATTTTACATTCATTTAGTGCCACAAACCATTTGAAATTGCTGGAGCATTATCTGCGGCCAAATGCCTTAGTGAACAGGTGGTGTTTGAGGGGTTTTATTAATCTGTCCAGAGAAGCAGCATTGTGGATTTCGGCAGATAGAGAATCCAGAGGGTGGAGGCTGTGACACAGAAGGCTCTGTCTCCAAAGGTTTGCAGTTTGGTGTTGGGGATGGAGAGCAAACCAGGGTTTGAGGACTGCAGCCTTCTGAGCGGAGTGTAGGGGTGGAGGAGGTCAGTTGGATATGGCGGGGCGAGAGCATGGAGGGATTTATAAGTGAGAAGGAGGAGTTTAGTTGATGATGGCCTTGATCTGAAGCCAGTGGAGGTGATTGAGGGTCGGTGTGATGTGCTGCTAGGGCTTAGAGCAGTTGAGAACCCCTGGTGGCAGAGTTCTGCACATACTGGAGTCTCTTCAGGACATTGTCTAGTACACCGGACAAGACTCTATTGCAGTAATCTAGGCTGGAGGTGATGAAGGCAAGAATGGGGGATTCTGCCACAGAGTCAGGGAGTGAAGGCTGGAGTAGGGAGATGTTTTTAAGATGAAAGAAAATGGATTTTGTGACAGATTTTATGTGGGATTGGAAAGAGCGGTCGGAGTCAAGAATAACACCCAGGTTGCGGACCTTGGGGGATGGGAAGATGGCGCAGCTGTCATTGTTGAGGAGTAGATCTCCAACCTTCCGGAGCAGAGCCTTGGGGGCCACAACTATGAGCTTGGATGGCTGAGGGCTAAGATAGAGTTAGGTGTCATCAGCATAGTAATGGACGTTAAGGCCATGTTGATCAATGATATGATCAAGCGGTATACAATAGAGAGATACAATATAAAACTGTGCCATACCACATTTTCAAAACACATTGTGCAGTTGTATGAATATATATAGCCTATACTAAAAGGTCAAACCAGGGAAACACATTAACTGATGGATGGACCTCACTGACTAAACATGCTTTTGGACCGGTTCAAACCTGCGGTATCAATAGTCATCTTGGGGATCCTGACAGCTTTAATTACAGGTGTGAATGCACCTAATATACACCGAGACTGTGGGGGTGGCTCAGTGAATAAACCCATAATTTTCATTCATTTGAAATGATAAATATAGTAAAAAGTGTTAATATTCAGGTGTTGACAAAAAATAAATCAAAGTATGCAAAACACTACTTTTGGTTTATTGCGAAACTGTAGTGGGTAAGATGATGTCAGCTGATTAGGACGCATTTGAGTTGAAATTGCGGTGCATTTATAAGAGCAGAAATATCTTAGCAGGTTCTTTCAGAGATGTAAAAAACAGCATCCAAAGTGTAGCATGAAATTGTAAGTGTCCCTGAAGAAATTCCATCAGTAAGAGGAAGATTTTTTCCCCTCGAGTCAAAGTTCAAAGCCACACTTAAAAGAGAACTTCAGCACAGCAGTCAGTTATACATTTGATAATACTTTCCAAAGATATTGTATACAGAAATACACCTTTTTCTTTACAAAAAATAATCCAGATGTTTTGTTTCCAACGCCTGTGTATCACTTATGCCTACCTAACTGCACTTAAATGGAATCTTTTTGTTAGTAGACAAAAGTAATGAGAAGGCTCTGCAGAGGCTTTGAATCCTGCTCACTGAGGTCATCAGGAGTAGCAGAGGATAGCAGAGGAAGGAGAATGGCCAGTTGGGGAAAGTGCTGGGAAAAAGTGTAAGCATGTGGTCCTACAACACTGTATGCCTTCAGGTTAGATAACCCATTAAGCACTGCTACATCCAGTATGGTCACAAAGAAGAATGAGGAAAGGTCCAAGGAGAGTGCCTCTAACTCCACTGCAGAGAAAATAGTAATTTCCTGATCAGGGTATGGTGCTTCTGGTGCTGAACTGTGGATCCTAAGGGTCTGTAGACCTAGCAAAGCGAGGTACTGTCTTCCCATTGGTTTTATTCCACAAAAAGACAACTGTAAATGGCCAACCCTGCTTCTGTTCAGCAGCTCCTCCAGGACCCAGAAATCCTTCACCCAGATGGTAAGTCGTCCAGGATCTCTGAGCCCAGAAAGGGGCAAAGCAGAGCGCAAGACAGTGTGGCATATGCACAGTGAGTTGGCAAGAGCCTCATTGCACTCCTGTACAGGTGTGGAGCAGCTACAGTTCTGCAGGTTGTAGCCTGGGGCTCCACCGTCAAACAACAAGGTGGTATTGACCAGCAGAGACGATTCAGATGTGGGGGCAGAGTCTGTTGTCTGAATGATGCTGGTCATGAAGAATAGCAACCACAATAACCATAGCAACAATGGAGAGAGAGAACCTTTGTTTGGAGACATCTCCATGGAGATCAAACAGACTACGTCTTCACCATGGTGAGAGAGTGTGGATTTTACAGAGCTGGACAACCCTGTGGACAGACAGAAATCAAGTTACCATGTTGTCATGCAGCAATAGTGTCATATAGTGTCAGATAAACAATGATGTCATATACTGTCATATATGAGTGACGGTACAGTCACAATAGAGCTTACAGTAAAGAGCAAAGTTCAGCATTAGATGTTAATGCACTTCTCAACACACTGTAGAATTTGACTTAAGGCACATGACACACAGGTTTCTCACTCTTTGCCCTTTAGTTATCTGCTTTATGTCGGGATTTTTACAACATACAGAGGCCAACTTAAGACCAACAGCTAACTGACTCACTGACTCACATGCAAGCACGCACACACACACACACAAATCCTTTCTTGTTCCTCACAGGCCCCAGGCCACTGTGGATGGCAAACAGCTGCTCCTGTGCTATGCTGTGGTGAAAAAGGCAGAGACCAGCAACATTAATTGTTTAGGAATAAAAAAACACTGGTCTCTTTATGTCTGTATTCAGGAACATTGCAAAATTGGACTGAATAAGCTGTCTTGACTTACAGAGTCAACTTTTCCCCTGTTGTCCTTGTCTTTGAAAGACAGCAGGGGTAGTGTTAAAGCTTGACACAGGCCTGTAGAAAAGTCAATGTGATGAATTTGGAACCAAAGACACACAAGTTTGCAGCAGCTCAAGGGACATGACATAGGTCACTCAAGGCAGTTGAGTCTTGCATATAGTTCACATTTAATCAATCAATCAAAATGTATTTGTACAAATGTAAAAAAAACCATACAAATCACAATTTGTCTCATAGGGCTTAACATGACGTAACATCCTAATAGAAACAATTTAGAAATCTCACTGAGAGCCACAAGTGAGGCAGAAATGCAATCAATGCCAAGTCTAACACCTATGCCTCACTGGAGAACAGTTCAGAGAGATCTATGCTGTTGATGCTGCAGAGAAACTAGGTGTGCAAGGGGCACCTGAGGACCTACCACTATACGTACAAATAGAAAACATGTGTCCATTGAACCTGTCAGAATGGCACATGCAGGACGGCCTGCTGCACTTTACATGCCACTGGACACTGACAAGACAGACAGATAGATAGGTAGATAGGTAGGCAGGTAGGTAGGTAGATAGATGGATAGATAGATAGATAGATAGATAGATANAGATAGATAGATAGATAGATAGATAGATAGATAGATAGATAGATAGATAGATAGATAGATAGATAGATAGATAGATAGATAGATAGATAGATACAGTAGATAGATAGATAGATAGTTCCTGCAAATCGGATGTTAAGGGGTTAAACTGTGTTTTGGCATTAAAGCTCAATTTCTGGTTTCTCGTCTATTCTGCTAAAAATAAATGTGACTTCACTGTGGTTGGTTTACAGTAGCAGCTGCCCTTCCATACACAACATGTCCTTTCCATCCTCCACTGTCTTACCTCACTGCTAATAAAGGTCATTGTCCATCCAGCTGTTCCAAGCATCTGGCTGTGTATTTATTTTAATTGCATTCACTCATTTAGCATTATTATTATTGTTTATTAAATAAAGACCATTACAATGTAATTTGGAGTCATGCTGTGCATGCAGCTATGTGAAAATAGAGACAGTAAGTTAGGGAAGTAATAAAGAAAGAGTTATATGGAGTGAAAGTGTTTTTATGTGTGAGAAAGAGTGTGAGGTGGCAGCTACTCCACAGAACTTAGCTTGTTAAAGGCGTGGAGAGGCTCAATACATTCCTCTGACATCATGTTCCACCACAGGCACCCAACCCTAATCTGTCCTTCCTCTCTCTTCTTCTCTTTTTCAGTTACAATTTCTCTGTTCCTCCATATCACACATCTCTTTTCACTGTCTCCCACTCCCCTCTCTCTCAGCAGCTGTAGCTCCACACACAACTATAGAGACAAAATCAAAGGAGTTGTACTCCAAAATGCCAAATGTGCATTGAAAAGTTTTTCTTCTCTTATTAAGTGTTCTGAGATACAGATTTGAACTTATAACACTAGTTAGAATACTAAGATTGACAAATGTGCAATACATTTTATGTTCATGTATGAATAGCTCGCAGTAACAGCACATGCTTATAAAAAATTAAGCTGGTAAGTCAGTTGGCTATACACACTATGTGCATTTGACCCTTCGCGAATGCTGTGGTGTCTTCCTACTTCCTTCCATGTTAACTGTCTATAATACAACAAATCACATAGAATCCTGCACAAGGAAAGAAAATAATCAAATTTGATGTAAGTACTGAACTCAGAGCATAAGATTTTTTTAATTCTGTTTTCCTTATTGTCAATATGTCACTCGAAAATTGTTAGCCTCAGTACTTCACCGTCCACCTGGCTGTGGTATCTACCTTCTCACTGAAGAGGTAAGTCATTTTGAGACCATTTAATTGTGTTTGTGGTATTTCTTAGCTAGGACGATCACACCACTCTCATGTATGTTGAAGTATAGAGCTAGAACTAATAAATGCGCAGTTTGTACATACAGCTGGCAGGGGGGAAACAACTGACATGACTGACTCCAGAGCTCAAACATACAGCTACCAGCTAAACTATTTTCAAAACTCTTTGAATTCGCATTCTTCACAATATAAACATCAGTTTGTCAAAATGTTCCAGTGTTCAATGATAATAGCAGATGGCAAACAATTGTTAAACATAAGTAACCTTTATTAATAAAATACTTAAAGGTTCAGTGTGTAGAATTTAGTGATATCTAGAGATCTAGAGAGAAGTTGCATGTTACAGCTGGATACTCCTCACCTCACCCTCACCTTTCCAACATGAAAGAGAACCTGTGGTGAACTTCAGTTGTCATGAAAACTCAAAAGGTTTTAGTTTGTCCAGTTTGGACAACAGGAAAACGCATAGCAGCCTCCACAGAGAGGACCCCATCCATGTAAATATAAAGTATTTAAATATAATAAAGGGCCTAGTCTATGTTAAAGAAAACAACAATTACTACAATTTAGATGAAACACAGTGAAAACATCACTAGGATTATTTCATATTCAATTTCTGCAAAAAATCAATTTCACCTAAATCTTACACACTGAACCTTTAATTTAACATTAAATATTATAACTTGCATGGCACGGTGCAGCAGTGGTTAGTACTGTTACCTCACAGCAAGAAGGTTCTTTGTTCAAATCCTGGTTAAATGGAGACTCTCTATTGACTTGTGTGTTTAGGACAGAAACACTGCACAGTACATAGCTGAGTCAATTGGACATGACCTTCAATGCTGCTCTCAGCAGACACCCGGAAAGGCAGGCAGGTGATCAGTAAGTTCAGTTCAATAACAGGGATCACAGGGGGTTCAGGCTGGAACAGAGGATGAGTCGACAAAGGAAACAGGTGGGAACACAGCTCAGTGCAGGAATCCACTGGAGGGCTCTTCCAAGGCAAGGGAGCAGACGGTGTAGGTTACTCCTCAAATGAACCAAGGAGATGGAGGAGAATTGGCCACAGGTGCCAAGGGACTCTCTTGGACTGGTTTCGCTTGGGACACATGGAACATGGGATGGACATAGATGGACCAGGGAAGCTTAAGTCTCACCACTGCCGGGTTGAATACCTTCTGGATCTCGAAGGGGCCGATGAACCCGGATGCCAGTTTCCTGAGGTCGACCTGAAAAGGCAGGTCCCTGGTGGAGAGCCACACTGTCGATCCAGCCCGGAAGGTGGGAGCTTTGGAGTGGCGATGGTTACGTAGCCATCAGCAGAGTAAAGCAGGGAAGCTTGTGTTTGGGCCCAGGCCTAGCGACAACAGCGGATGAAGGCCTGGACAGACATTTCTCCTTCTCTAGCACCAGGAAGAGTCGAAGCTAGAACCCATAGGCACACTTGAACAGGGAGAGTCCTGATGCTTAGACTAGGGAGAGGGGTTCTGGGATACTATGTACTGCTTGGCCATTTCTAACTCCTGATTTCCATATTCTGTCTGGCCGTTGGATTGTGGGTGGAAACCAGAAGATACATGTATAGGCTCACAGTGCCCCATCAGCAAGCAGAACTCCCTCAGAACATCGATGTGAACTGTGGTCGTTGTTGAGACAACATGTTATGAGGCAAGAATGCACTTTACTTGAGTGTTGTTGATTACCTTTTGAAAGCAATTATAATTTTGGGATGGGATTTATGCAAAAGTCATGTAATTTAATACGTAAGTCTAAACCATGTCAAAATTCTTGTTGAATGTTCATCCTTTGCTGTTTGGCCTTAATGGTCTGTTCATTCTTTTTCCATAGTATGTTTTGTTTGTAGGGCTGTATTTTCTAAATGGGGAAATTGGTTTGGTTGTAATGTGTACTTACTTGCAAAACTGTCTTTAAAACCAACATTTAAAAAAATCGCAATAAGATTGTGGAACACAGTCCTCGCTGGAAACAATCTTGATATGACATTTTTGCCATATCGTGGCCCACCCCTAGGTTGCAATATGAGTTCTGCCATCTCTTTGGCCAATGCGAGCTTGGGTAAGGCCACAGAGTGTGCCATCTTGCTGAACGTGTATACTAACATCAGGATGTTAGAGTGTCCATTGGACAGTGGCAGACCGGGATAAGTTTTATCAAGCATACTCCACAAGTGGAAGGGATCTCAAGAAAACATACAGGTGTGGTCATGTTTTCATGTTATCATGTCTACATCTACAGATAACACAGGGTTGCCTGGCTTGGGTAGTCCGAGGCTTATCTGCAGACTGCTTTGGTAGATTTAATCGGGTAGGAAATATATTATTTGTAAAAATATTGTATATACAATTAAAGAATAATTTCTTGGTAAAAAAAAAAATCACATTGTCACAATTAACACCTGCTGATTTATAAGTGGAGGTTGATCATGTAAATTATGAGAGCCTTCAGTCTTATATCTAAGCGATATACCATCTAGTTCTAGCTCTGTGATGCACCTCTCAAATACAAATCATACAAAATGTTATCACTTGTTTAAGGAATTCAGTGGAAAGATGTAAATAATCATGCTTTATATCAGTAAAACTGCAGAAAAAAAATGTATTCAAAGAAGTACTGTTATGAGCATAATAAAGTGCCTGGTGGTATTAGTCTGCCATTACATTTGTAAGAAGTGAAAAAAGTATTCAAAAGAATAGCATATGTGTTGAACAGGTTTAAGAGTTGTATTATAGCATCTACTGTACAAACACTGGATATATCTATAACTATCTCTTAGACTTCCCAAAATTAATCAATCAAATTGTATTTGAGTAGGCCAGACTCACAAAATGTCCAAAATGTCCAAATTGTCTCATTGGGCTTAAGGTCTGCCCTTAAACCTTAAGATATAGAAATAAATGTCCACCTGAAACAGTTTAGTCTGCTCCCTGGGGACCAGCTCAGTTTTGATGTAACTTTTTACTCACAATAAAACCTAAATTACAGTGAAATCAAAACTCATTTCTGGCTACTGGCTGTGTGTTGGAGGGTGGTGGAAAGAAAAACAACTAAAATAATTTTTTTTTAGCAAATGTAGATATATACAAATAAATTAGTTTCCAGTGAGTGGATTACAAATACATACATTTTCAGGTAATTGAAACAGAATGTGTGTAGGCCAATTACTACTCAGCTGTATAAAATGTGAAGTAACTGCTATTGAAAACACGTCACTTTATGGACACCAGTTACAGACTGACCATCAAAGAACAACAATATATATATATATATATATACAAGAAGAAAATGTTAGATGGTTATAACATACAGCACGGGTTATGTATTGTATGGCTTGTATGGCATCACTTGTGTGTGTTTGAGTGTAGTATGATGTAGATTACTTACGTGGACTGTGTCTGGCTCCGGGCTGGTCTATCCAGCTTCCTCATTCAGCAGCAGCCTCTGTTTGTCTGAGAGAGAAAAAGGGAGGGAGGGAGATATTGTCAGAATTTTGTGGGAGAAAGAGGGAAAGAGAGAGAAGGAAGAGAAAAAGAGGTTTTACTTTTCAGGTCACTGGACAGAGTGACATTTCTCTTTTTCCCTTCTTTCTCTTCTGGTGTGACAGCAAAGCAGACTCAAACATTCAGTACTTTTTCTATGCTTTCTTCTCATCGTTTTTCCAATTCCCTCACTCCTTGGCCTCACTTTCCTCCTGTTTTGGGACCCGCCTCTCATTAACAATGCCCCCTCCCCTCCTCAACACACACACACACACACACACACACACACACACACACTTTGCTGTGTATGCTTCCATCTTGTGGCTAAAACAATTACTACACCAGGCAACATAAGCCAGCAAACCAGAGGCTCCAGTTTCTAGGACCCTATGATTTTTTACAATATAGAAAACAATGAAAGAGTGAGTAGTGAATGTGAATTCAGTTTTCTGTTGACCACATAAACACTAATGGTGCACAGTAAAGGTAAAGTTAGCTAGCCAAAGTTTGAGTTGACCTTTTTTGTTTGAAAGTAAGATTCCCTATGTTGTGCCAAACCAGAATTAAAGATTGTTGAAACAATGCAAACATGAAGCAGAATGGTTTGGGCAAGTTTTTTTTTGCTTCTGTCAATTTTGTGATAGGTGTAATAATGTTTGATGGTGAATTTGGTGGATTTAGTAAGCGTGACATAGTGGGTCCTTCTTGTTAAAAAGGAAGGGAAAATGGAGCGTACTCTTTGGCAAAAAGGCCAATTTCTGGAGGATCTGTAATAACACAATCAAAAATGTTGTTAGAGAACACATTCTCTTCATATTGGATCAAACATTCAAAGTAAAAGCACAAAATTGGTTTTGTTGCTGCAATGCTATATATCAAACCCAATTATTGGGCTTTTATTTTGAAAAGCTGTGAAGTTGGCTCTGAAAATTGTGTTAATTGACAGACCTCTGAAATAGTTGACATACTAATGACAAAATACTGCCAGTTGAGTCAATCATTCAAACGTATATATAAGTCAGACAAGAACAGAAATTAAGCACTAGGATGAACACAAGGTCTTCTAACTTCACTCTGAAACAAAACTTCCACAAATAACATTGGTCAACAATAATCCAAAATGATAATGAGAGATTTTCCTGGTCTCTTTGATCTTTTAAAAGCCAGTGGCAAGATCATTTTCATTCCAAGCACAATTCCAGTGCTGGGTCGTGGATCACAGCATTTAAAAACATTTAATCTGTTCTGGCAGTGCCCTCTTTGCTTCAAAAGAGACAGTCTTAGCCCGAAATCAATTGGGCTCTTGCAAGCTTTTGGCAAACTTATTGGATGTAACTCTGTCCTGCCCACTTGCATGACTTTTTACAATCTCCAACACATGTGCCCCTGGCATTAGGGTTGGGTTAGGGTTCTGAGAGTGATTGACTGTGTTCTCTACATTCAAAGATAGGGTTGGTTTATTTGTTGAAATCCTCTTCATGTGCTGATAGCCATCAAGTCATCTAAAAATAGAAGAAAATAGCTGGTGTCTGTGGCGTTCACAGGACTGTATACAAATCGTTTAATTTGGACCACATGAAATGATTGTCAGAAACGGAACTGCCTGTGCACACCCCACTCATGCTCTCACTGCACATGACTGTTGTCTTCAGCCAGGAGGACATACACCACTGAAGTTGAGATGATTATCAGACGTTAGTGAGCGAGTTAGAGAAATAGCCGGCTTTTAGCTATTGTCAGGCCGAGTGCGTTCATATGGGTGCAGCTTTGATGAGAGGGCTGATTGGATGGGCTAAGTGTATAATTTGCATTTGTTCAATAGCTTTTCCAGGATTAACCCTAGTTTTAAGAGTGAATCAGACAGTGTTGTAAAAGTTAAGCTGGCATCCTGAGGAACTGCAATGCCTGTTGAACACAGTTACCAGGGAGTAGACTTTCAATATTTTATCCAAATTGTGAGACACAATGTGATTTACGCCAAAATGTGAGTAATAACCAGGGTGAGTGAAATCTTTACACCAATGGCAGACAGCCACAGTGCCAGTAATGAGCAAGTTCAAAGCTTGCAAGTGAGGTAGGTAAAGGTTGAGAAAGTCTATGTATAGTGTTCTGAATCATAATTTATAGGGAGTGTGCCTCTTGTTTCAATATAATCATGGCAGCTTATTGTCTACTTCTGGTTATACAAGTTCCCAGTTGAATTGTGTAGTAAGACTGACCTAATTAAACAAAGGACCAATAACTACAGTGCAAGAAGAAAAACAAATAGACAGAAGAAAACAAATATTTCTAAATCTAAATATTTCTAAATCAATTCCAAAGGAATCAAATGAATGAATATCAAAGGGATCTCTCCAACATAATAATGAGGGAGAGGCCAAGCAGCTCATATTTGACCCTGCTTGTGTTGCAGGTTAATACAGGTATGACATGTTACACTCTCTTCCGGGATGCATATAAGGCAATCCCTCGTCCCTCATTTGGCAAATCAGATCACGTCTCAGTTCTGCTGCTGCCTTCCTATAGGCAGAAACTCAAAGGTGACAGACCGGTGACTCGAACCATTCAGCGGTGGTCCAACCAATCAGACTCGGCTCTACGGGCTCCAGGACAACAACATCAACACGGACACGGTGATCTGCTACATCAGCAAATGTATCGATGACAACGTACCGACGATTACTGTGCGAACATTCCCAAATCAGAAGCCCTGGATTATTGTTGACATCCATGCCAAACTTAAAGCATGGACTGATGCCTACAACTCAGGTGATCTGGAGGAGTACAGGAAGTCCAGGTATGCGCTCTGGAGTGCTATCAGCAGTGCTAAGAGACAGTACAGGGACAAAGTGGAGTCTCACTACCAGGGCTCCAACACAAGGAACATGTGGGCTGGACTAAAAGCTATCACAGTGCTGAGGTTATGTCTGCATCTCTCGATGCATCTCACAAGAGCAAATCCCCGGCTGTGGAGGTACAAGAGGCCCAGGAGGACCGCTGCCTATATCCAGGGCAGACGTGTGGAGATCACTCATGTGGATCAACACATGCAAGGCACCTGGACTTGATGGCATCCCTGGCCAAGCTCTCAAGGTGTGTTCAGATCAGCTGGCAGATGTGTTCACAGACATCTTCAACCAGTCATTGCCCCAGTCTGTAGTCCCCACATGTTTCAGGGAAACAATCATTGTCCCTTTTCCCAAAAAAACGAAACCCTCTGCCTGAACCACTACCGCACCGTAGCACTCACCTCCACCATCATGAAGTGCTTTGAGAGGTTAGTCAAATCCTTCATCACCTCTTCCCTCTCTGACCCACTGCGGTTTGCCTATAGGCCAAATTCAAAGCTTTATTGTCATATGCACAGTAAAGAAACACGTTTCCCTGTACAATGAAATTCTTTTGCTGCCCACACAGGATGCAGGAATATATATAAATAAATCTAAGAGAATATAACAAAGCAAATGCAGTAAAAAATAATAGAAATAATAGAAATAATAGAAATATAAAGAAGATAAATTTTCTTGTGTAATGAAAAGTTATGTAGAACATTCCGCAGTAAACGGTATAGTGCAATTGAGCTGATGGATTCAAGGTAACA